TATCTTTTTAACGAACTACGAGCGACGGCTAAAACCTCTTCAAGGTCACTCAGGAGGGCGACCTTGACAACATATGTCAAGGTCAAGGTCATCGGGGCTGGCTCCCTTCATCGATATATTTACCGATAAATTAGTAATCACTCATCGGTAAAATTTGATTCTTTTAATAACGAGCTGATGTCACGTAAAAACAATATAAAACCTTTATGCATTTTGATTTCATTATTTTGGAGGATCACATTGTATAATTTGATATTTTATCTAAATTTGTGGAACTTAAAAAAGTAAATTGTACATACATATTTAGTCTCCTAAACTTTGTTGTTACGCCCAAGTTTTTCAATGATAATACATATAATGCATTTAATATTATTATGTTAAATATGAACACCTTGATAAATTGTCATTACATACATTCATTATTACCAATATTACTAGTAATAATATTAACCATTATTATTAATAATGATTATGCATAATTTTTAATAATAATATAATAATAATAAACTACTATCTATTGCAAAGTGATTACCTTGAATTAAAATGTTTTAAAAATGTTAATTTAAGATTGATTTTACTGCAATCTCAGTATAGCCATAATCGTTAACTATGTCGTCTGTATTTTCAACAATTGTAATCTGTAATCCTCCAAATTCACAATTTCTTCATGTACATATATACATATAAGTATTCGTAAATTTTTAAATGCTCACAAAATTGTCATTACAATAATTCTGTCCAATCACATAAATCATTAAGCACTATAAAATTAATTAAAAATGTTCCAAATCTCCGTCTATATTGTTACGGCGGTGGCAGAAGAGTCGCTTTTAAACGCAATTCTTCACTAACTTTATTTACTTGTACATACACCAAACTAAACAAATTGATTACCTAAAACAGATATTTGCAGTTTATCAATAGTGTTGATAATAAACTTTTGTGTTGGTACACAAGAGAATATTACCTGTACGCTGGAAGGTTCCTTCCAATTAACAGTTACAGTTGGTGTACAATCTGCAGAATACTGTAATGTGGCAGCATGTTCTATGTCTTTAAGACTGATTCTTAATTTTATGCCGGTATCGCAGAGCATAACTTCTATACCGTCTTCCTTCACATATATCACAATAGCTACTGCTTTAAATCCGCCTGAAAGACCTACCATGTACGCGAAGAGCACCTCCGTACTCTGTTCCTGAGCTAGTTTCGCACTATATTTCTTCACATTGCAATTAGCTGCGATTCTGTTGCAAAATTGAAAGTAAAAGTTACTTATTCAGATAAATTTTGCCATTCTGTTTACGCAGTGTATCGTTAACATACTTTGAGCACAACTGGATCGTCCATTTTTCTGGTAAAGGTTTATTTTCGAGCGTGGCACTGAGCAAACGATGAACTATGCAGTCCGAATACCTTCGAATAGGAGACGTAAAGTGCGTGTAAAGAGGTACATTTAATGCATAGTGTTTTAAATCATGCTGCAAAGTGGTAGAAGCGCATATGTAATCTGCACGCTGAAAAATAAAATTTTCTTTGCAGAATCGTCAAATTATAAATTGCCCCTCACTATTTGTCTGCATTAATAACATTTGTAAATTAAGAGAATAAAAATTCTTACTGGCATAGCCTTTAAACACATATTTACGACGACCATCGTAATATATTTCATGGTATCGGTAGAATTATTTTCTGGATTATAGTAATTGATGCTGGCCTGTAAGGATCCAGCTGTTTCAATGTGCAAATGAATTCCATACTTTTGCAACGTATTATAAACTGCTCTGAGACAGTGCTTGGACGGAGCTTTATGATTACGTAATAAAGCTGTCATGGAATTTTAATGTACAATTGTGTGGCAACTGTCATATTCGCCAACAGCATAAATTCTTCTATAAGACTGAAACACACATATTCATAATAAATAATTGTAAACGGAGTTAGTTTCCTCATGCATTGTAATGTAATAAGTCAATAGAGATACGAGTAGCTGAAAAATCTACCTGTTGCTATCGTTTCTTTCATACACATAATAATTTATAGGTACCGGAGTCCCGTGTTCCAGGCTGAGCGTAGAGTCTATGCGTATTTGTAACTTTGGTTGATCCAATCTGAGCGCGCCGTTGACAAACCGTTTATTTTGCAGCTGAGTGGACAATTTAAATAACTTGTTCACTATGGCAGATAACAATGACACGGTATAATCCCCTTTTATGTCGAGAAAATCTTCTGGATAGGATTTTTCAGGATTGTCGAGCATGGCTTGTGCCGAGTCATAGGACATTTGACAACACGATCTTATCACAGTCTTTGCGAAGCGATATTTTATAACTTCAGAGTCTGGCGTCATCTCCCAGATCACGGAAAAGGCTAATCTATCTTTACCAGGTAGCAAAGAACAAATTTTACACAGTTGCTCTGGTAACATGTGAGAAGTCATATGTGGCAAATAAATAGTGGTAGCTCGTTTCAAAACTTCCGTGTCTAGCGGCGAGAAAAATTCCAAATAGTGCGTAACGTCAGATATATGTACAGCGATCTAAAATTCATTATTAAAAAATGATTTATTAAATAATGTCTTGCATATGTTATGGCTTAAAAATTTAATATCGCAATTACTTCATAGTTCCCATTAGCCAATACTTCGCACGAAAGGGCGTCGTCTATGTCAACAGCTGTCGGGGGATCTATCGTAAAAACGCACTTGTGCCTCCAATCTTCCCTGTCCTTCATATCAGCCTCTGTTAAAGTGTAATCACTACCTGGAAGTCCCTCCAACAGTGTCTCTTGATAAGGAGATACGTCTAAATTATTTTCAAGAATTATTGCCTTCAATTCCGTGTCTATCTCGCCACTTTTGCCCACTACCGAAAGAACCCGCCTGCAAATATACAAATATATAATATATGTACAACTCAACGCAAATTACAGACGACAGAAAGGTCAATAAAAATATAAAATATGATAAACGATTACTCTATGTTGCAGATATGTATTGCATAATGCAGACCTACCCAAAGGCAAAGGTTTGCTGCTCCCAAACATCGATAGTGACAAAAAACATTGTATTCTTATAAAGTTCAGGTTGGTCGTGATACAAAGGTGGCACTGATTCAGGAAGTATTTCAACCAGTGGTACCCTATGATCTCTTGGATGAAACATGAGGAGCGACTCCTGCTTCTTTATAAGTCCGACCGCCTGTCTCGGGTGCACTTTCTCTAATATACAAACAATTTGACCAGTCTTTTGTATTCCTCCATCAGAACATTTGAACCAATGTTTCTCAGGGTTTACATGCGCCACAACCAGATCTCCTTCAAGAGCACGATTTCTACTCGATATACCTAGGATCAGCAGGTCGCGTTCTTCATTAGTCAAACGCAAATAAGCAAATTTATAACAAGAAGGATTCACGCGGAGATTCCCTTTCACATATTGTGAATCGTTGAGTGATTGGGTTTTCAAAATGTTCATCATTTTTGGCACAGGTATGTAATCCGAAAATATCTTCTTCTTTGTCGCTCTCTCCGTATTCCTTTTCTTTTTCGCATTGCTCATTATCATTTCCTCGCTACGGTTTTCTTTCCCTGTGCTTGATTTGTTTCCTGCCTCTGCTGTCATATGCGTTTCTGCCCTATTCCTTGCATTTCCTCTTGACAATCTCCAGTTTCTTCCCTTGTTATCGCAAGTATCAGCCTTATGAACAGAAAAATGATTATTGTAAACAGAGAATATTAAAGTATAATATTTTTCTTCAAATTTTTACAAAACAGAGATAACAAATTCCTACAGAACATTAATATAAAGAAGAGTAATATTTTCTAGATAATAACAGATAAGATTAGATGAGAGATTTGTGTTGCACGACCAACCTGATTCATAACTAAATTTTTAGTCCTGCTTCTATCGTTAGCTGACACTTTCGTCGTTTTATGGTCATTCGTCCTTTCTTCTTCCACAGCTCTCTCACGTCTGTCCGCGGTACCGTGCTTCGTGTTCTTCGCTGTCGATTTGTGACTTGAGGAGACCCGAGACGTGCCTGCAAGCTGCGCAGGACTGGTTGTATTATCTGGGACAGCGTCCGAAGAAGTCGACGCGATCTGTCCCTCGATTTTTGCCG